CGGAGCCGCGGCAGGTGCTGCGGGGACGGCTCCTCCAGGGACGCTCTCCTGCAGAGCCTGGCAGCAGGACGGCCAAACGCTCCGTGAAGAATCTCTTCATTTCTCTTTTGTTCTCCAATTTCTAGAAATTTCTCTTTCACCCCTAGAGCAAGGAAGGATGACATCCCGGCTCCTCTGAAGGCTGGGAGCAGCAGAGCCATGGAGCTGGCAGACGAGCAGCCCAACGCCACCGAGTTCTGGTTCTCCCCGGCTTCCCCGTTCGACAACTTCTCCGTGGAGGCACCTGCCAACGCATCGCAGAACGCCACGGGCCACCATTTTGACCTGACCAGCAATGCCATCCTCACCTTCATCTATTTTGTGGTCTGCATCATAGGGCTGTGTGGCAACACGCTGGTGATCTACGTCATCCTGCGCTACGCCAAGATGAAGACCATCACCAACATCTACATCCTGAACCTGGCCATCGCGGATGAGCTCTTCATGCTCGGGCTGCCCTTCCTGGCTATGCAGGTTGCGCTGGTTCACTGGCCCTTCGGCAAAGCCATCTGCAGGGTTGTCATGACAGTGGACGGGATCAACCAGTTCACCAGTATCTTCTGCCTGACGGTCATGAGTGTTGACCGGTACCTGGCTGTTGTCCATCCCATTAAATCTGCCAAGTGGAGGCGGCCTAGGACAGCCAAACTGATCAACGTAGCTGTATGGGGGGTCTCCCTGGTGGTGATAATGCCCATCATGATTTATGCTGGGGTGCAGCAAAACCACGGCAGGAGCAGCTGCACCATCATCTGGCCGGGGGAGTCCGGCGCGTGGTACACAGGCTTCATCATCTACACCTTCATCCTGGGCTTCCTGGTGCCTCTCACCATTATCTGCCTTTGCTACTTGTTCATCATCATCAAAGTCAAGTCCTCAGGGATCAGAGTGGGCTCCTCCAAGAGGAAAAAGTCGGAGAAGAAAGTCACCAGGATGGTCTCCATCGTGGTCGCTGTCTTCATCTTCTGCTGGCTCCCCTTCTACATCTTCAACGTCTCCTCCGTGTCCGTCCTCATCGTGCCCACGCCCGTCCTCAAGGGCATGTTTGACTTTGTCGTGGTGCTCAGTTACGCCAACAGCTGTGCCAACCCCATCCTGTACGCCTTCCTGTCCGACAACTTCAAGAAGAGCTTCCAGAACGTCCTCTGCCTGGTCAAGGTCAGCGGGATGGACGACGCAGACCGGAGCGACAGCAAGCAGGACAAATCCCGGCTAAACGAGACCACGGAAACCCAAAGGACCCTGCTCAATGGAGACCTGCAGACGAGCATCTGAGAGGACAACGGGGTTGTCCATCATTTGCTCTCCTTCCTACTTGCTCCCGACTCCGCAGCAGGGCCTGGCACACACCACGTCCGGGCAGGAGCGCCAGCTCTTCCCTGCCCAGCCGGAGGACGGTGGGTGCTGCCCGGCGGGCTCCTGAACCCGGGCTGGATCCCGAGCTGCCGGCAGGTTGGTTTGCAAGCCCAGGGAAGGATCCAGAAGATGCTGCCTCACCAGAGACGCAAGGAACCTGCAGACACCCCCAGGCGACAGCGGGACACCAGCGTCTCCGGGGCGGCTGCTCCGGCTCTCCCGGGCGGCTCCGCAGGCTGAGCTCCGCACGGGAATCGCATGGGTGCCTGCTCGTGCGCCTGAGCCGCTTCCCTGCTCCCATTCTCCCAAGGAGACGCGTGGATTGGGGAGGGGGGCGTTCTGCCTGGCTGCTCGTATGTGGACGGAGCCCCTCACACCCAGGCGGCCGCATTCCTTCCCCCAAGGCTTTCCTGTGCCGGGAAGAGGGAATCGCCTCCGAGAGCAGCCCTGCGCTGCCCGCAGCACCGCGGCTCCTGGTGCCCGGCC